TGGCTTAAGTCATCGGCTGGCTTCTTCGGAAATGAAGATTAAAGACACATTTCTCATAATTTCGACAAGCCATATAAATGTGACCTCCACGTTTGGCCAGTTCCAAGGCAGTTTCTTTACCAATGCCGGTATTACAACCAGTTATCAATACCACTTTGCCATCGATACGTGTGGGTTTGTCGTACATGGGGCCATCTCACCATTTGCGATACATTTGAAAAACGAATTAAAATAGATAAATTTCTGCCCAGATCCAATAATAACAGATTTAGATGTAATCTCTATGGAACCAAAATTCAAACTAGAGTATTATTCAGCATATTTCATTTATTAATCTATAATGTGTTTTATACCTTCGCACTTGAGTAGATAAGCCTATCGTTAGGTTTATTCAATTTTCGATAATAATAAAAATGATTAACATATTACCCTATTTTGTTCAGCAGGTATATTTGCTGTAAGACTATTCGGTATTTTGATGATTTTAGTGAGATTATTCACCGAAATTGTTTCAAATTTGGTATTTAAAGATTGCAATGGATACTACAGCCTATGGCTGAAAATTGTCTGTGCAGGTCCACTTCTTCGTATAGCCCTCATATAACGGCCTCTCTCGATAATCGGTATTTTGATGATTTCAGCGACATTATTTATCGAAATTGTTTCAAATTTGGTATTTGAATATCGTAATGGATACTACAGCCTATGACAGAAAATTGTCTGTGCAGGTCCACGTCATCGTATAGCCCCCATATAATGGTACCTTCCGATATTCAGTATTTTGATGATTTTAACGACATTATTCACCGGAATTGTTTCAAATTTGGTATTTGAAGTTCGTAACGGATACTACAGCCTACGACAGAAAATTGTCTGTGCAGGTCCACGTCTTCGTATCCTCCTTATATTAGGAATTTTGATGATTTTGGCTTCATTATTCACCGATTTTTTTTTTTCAATTTTCGCATTTGAATATTGTAATGGCTTAAGACAAAAATTGCTTATGCAGATCCACGTCATCGTATAGGCCCTAATATAATGGCTTTTTCTCAATGTATATTTGTTACTTATATTCGGTATTTATTTTCTTCTTTGAGATGGCAACTCTGATTTCTCTTTTTGGGTAGGAGACATGATTTTCAGCCGAGGTGTCCTTGGTGGACTCTCGTAAGCGCTCGAGTCCCCTTTTATACTGGGTCCACTACTATTTGTTCTTTACCTGAACGATCTTCCGAAAATTATTCGTTTTTCTAAAATTCTGATGTACGCTGATGATGTGAAACTGTTTCTTCACATTAACTCACTTAACGATGCAATTTCATTACAATATGATTTAGACACCTTCGTAAATTGGTGTAGTGCGAATGGTATGTCTCTTAATCTAAAAAAATGCAAAAAATTGTCGCTATTTCGAAATCAGCCATTACTATCTAACTATTATATTGGCTCTTATAAATTGGATAATGTTGAATCTTTCGTTGATTTGGGCGTAATCTTAGATCCTAAGCTACGGTTTCATTTACACATTGATTCTTGTGTTAATAAAGCTAAATCTTTACTAGGCTTTATCAAGCGTTGGTCAAAAGAGTTTAATGACCCTTACGTAACCAAAAGATTGTTTGTTAGTCTAGTTCGTCCAGTATTAGAATATGGTTGTATATTATGGAGTCCATTTTATAAATATTATTCTGATAAAATTGAATCAGTACAAATTCAGTTTTTAATTTTCGCTTTGCGTGGTTTAAATTGGAACCCCTCTGAACTTCTTCCGCCATACGAGAGTCGTTTAATGTTAATCGATCTTCCAACTCTTGAAAAAAGACGTTTTATGTTAAGAGCATTATTTATCATAAAATTATTACGTGGATTGATTGATTCCCCTTTTCTCACTGGTGAAATAAACTATAATGTTCCCTTTCGTAGAACTCGCAATTTTGAACCGTTAAAATTGTCCATAGCAAGAAGAAATTATGAACTTAATAGCCCACTGAGATCACTTTGTGTAATTTATAACAGTTTATGTAACACTATTTGCTTATATAGTCCCTTGAACACAATAAAAAATTGTATTCTGCATATGTAATTTTTGTTGTGCTATGTCTATGCTAATATTTTGTTTATGTAACCTTATATTTATGTCTTCTTAACTCTATAAGCTCATTTTTACGGCATATTATCTACAACTCCCTCCGCGGAACCAGTAGAACTTCGCCTTTGAGCACCAGATGTACATGTTATATAATGTTTGTTTTACTTCATCAAGCTGCTTGATCATCTGGCATCTGATCTACAATCCCTATGCGGAACAGTAGACGTGGCCAATGCGCAGTGCTTGTAGATTGTTGCTTTGTAAATTTATGTTTACTAATCTGTGTGTGACTTTTAAAATGTCTTTTGTATTTTAACCACTGGCTGATGTAGTTTCTGTAGCCGGTGTAAAACCATTGCTAACCCGCCTTGGTCCGGACTTTGGTGTGTACGCGCTCTCTACGTTATAGGGAGGTTGCCCCCTCGGTCGGCAGGGGCGGGTGTGAGAGGCGTGGGACCGAACGAAAAAAAAAAAAAAAAAAAAAAAAAAATGACCCTTTTATACTGGCAATATTTCCTTCATTATTGTATTTTGTTTTCACTGTGCCTAAGAAGCCCTATGATTGCATTTAGTTCTTAGTTCCCTACACTTAAGTAGTGAATATTGGCAACACTTTTTGCTCCACCTATTTTGACAATCATTCGTATCCGGTTCATTCATTTTCTGTAGTCGTTAAGTATAGAAAATGAAATAAAATAAATTATTTATAATCCAAGTAAGCACATAACAATCTTTTGATACTTCGTATATATATATGGATTTTTCCCCACACGGAGATGAAGTATTTTTCTTTCCAATATTCCAAATTATTTTATTTCGTTGGAGAAATTGGTAACTGCACAGGGAACGCGAACACCAACACAACTTTAGTTATGTTCCAGAACCTGCAAATTAGTACTAATTAGCACTAATTCTGCTACAACGCGTTCCCGTACTCCAAAAACTTGCAGCTCTCTCGAGAAAAAAATGGCGCTGAGTGGTGCACATTTCTGCTTGTTTTAGCTACATGAATTTGGCCGAGCAGAAATGTGCATATTGTAAATTTGACATTTAATTGGCAGGGCTAACAAGGTTGAAAAATGTATTGATACATTTCAATAAAGAAAATGATCTTTTCAGTAAGGTTTCACCAGTCCGATTTAGGCTGTTTACTTTTGGAATTTTGACATTTTATCGCATTTCTGCTAATTTTCCGTTCCCTTATTTTTTGAGCAAACCTAAATGAGAATGACATTTCGAACTGTTCTCTCTTCTGCTAGTTTTACTACTAAAAAAGTACTGGAACACAACTTTTATTTATCTGTCTAGCGATATGGCTGAGGGTATAACTACCCATATGGCTGAGGGTATAAAAATAACCCTGGTTGTAGGCATTAAGGTGTAAATACATAAAACGCTGTTGGCTTAAGTCATCGGCTGGATCATGATAGAAGAATATAGGTAGATGCATCAATGCTTGAGAACATTGATATGTCAATTTTTTTATGTTTTATAAAGAGTAGGTAGATTTTTAATTGTCTTTTTATACGACGCCAATAGAACGCTGTGTTAATATGTGTTTTTCAACAATTTTTACAAATTTCAATAATTTTTCATTCAACATTTTCAATTCCAAAATCAGTTTGACAGTTCATTGTCCCAGCAGCTGTGTCGATGCGATTACCTGTATTCTTCCACCATGGGCTGGATCTTTCGGAGAAGAACAAATTTGCGTAGGGTGAACAAGTATAAATTATGGGCCAAAATCGATCTAAGTCGACCTAAAACTCCATTGTTCCTGTACGAAGAAGCCAGTCAAAAAAGCATTTTATGTGTTCTCACCTTTAGAATTCTCAAATTTCCAATTACTGTCATAGGTCTTAAGGGGAGAATACATAAAACACTTTTCTGGCTAGCTTTCGTCATAGGCTGGCTTCATCGGGAAAGAATAAAGGAGCGTTGGGCCAAAATCGAACGCAGTCAACCTAAAACTCATTTGTTAATATACGAAGAAGCCAGCCGATGACATAAGGCAGTCAGAAAAACGTTTTATCTATTCTCACCTTTAGAATTCTTTATAGAAAAATATTAAGCCTGTTTGTAGGATTTAAGGGCTAAGTACATAAGAAGCTTGACTTCAAGCTTCATGGCTTGACTAGCCATGACTTCAAGCTTTCTATGTACTTGCACCCTTAGAATTTGTAGTCGAAAATTGTTATGCCTGGTTATAGGCCTTGAAATTTTAAATGAACAATTATTAGTTTGAGGATTTAAGGGGCAAATACATAAAAAGCTTGTAGTTATGGCTAGGCATATTAATGGCAAACTATAATGGAAAATGACGGCAGGATTTTAGTGCGGCTTTGTAATCCCTTTATGAAATGTCAAAAAATATGCCCTGTCATGACTTCAAGCTTCTTATGTACTTAGGGTGTAATGAATATTTTGTGGCATTTCATAAAGGGATTACAAAGCCGCACTAAAATCCTGCCGTCCTTTTCCTTAATAATTTGATATTAATATGCCTAGCCATGACTTGAAGCTTTTTATGTACTTACACCTTTACAATTTTCAAAAAAAGTTAAGCCTTCGGAATTCATAAAAAATCATGTCTATTCCAGCCTTTAGAATTCTCCATAGAAAATTTTCAAGCTTGGCTATATAACTTGTAATTTCCTATAATTGGGCTTCCTCATTTGGTTGTAGGCCTATTTCAAACCTGCAAAAGGCTTTAGAATATTCTCCCGAATTAGTTTAGAAAACATTTTAAAAAAGTTCCAATGGAAATTGTGTAAAATTTGCTTTGTTAATGTTATCGCCCATCATTCATTTGAGGTCCGCCGAACAGGTGTTCAAAGAAAGGTGTCTTAATATCAGGAAATATGTATACAAATCCAATAATTTTTCTGATTATTCAGTTGACATATGGACGTCTTCGGATAAGGTTTTCAGTATTGTTTTGTAGGCGCAAAGAATTCTAATTTCTTAGTCTTGATGTATCGCAAATGGAGGGATGGTCCCATGTACAACAAACCCACACGTATCGATGGCAAAGTGGTACTGATAACCGGTTGTAATACCGGCATTGGTAAAGAAACTGCTTTGGAACTGGCCAAACGTGGAGGTCACATTTATATGGCTTGTCGAAATTATGAGAAATGTGAAGAGGCTCGAAAAGAAATCATTGAACTCAGTGGCAACAGAAATGTCTTTAATCGAACTTTAGATTTGTCATCTTTGCAATCGGTAAGAGATTTTGTGGAGAAATTCAACGAAGAAGTCCAGCGCCTGGATATTTTAATAAACAATGCCGGTATTATGTCCACACCCCTGGGATATACCATCGATGGCTATGAACAACAATTGGCTGTTAATCATTTGGGTCCCTTTTTGCTAACCAATCTTTTGTTGGACAAATTAAAAGCCTCAGCCCCCAGCCGCATAGTTGTGGTCAGTTCTTTAACCCATCGTGTGGGAAAAATCAAGCAACATGATTTGAACAGCAAAAAGAGCTATGGAAAATTTGAAGCCTATGCCCAAAGTAAATTGGCAAATGTCTTGTTCACTCGCCACTTGGCTAAACGATTGCGCGGAACTGGTGTCACAATTAATTGTCTACACCCGGGATCAATTCACACCGAAATTGGACGTAATGATCCGCTTATGGATAAAATGATTTCCACAGTTGGAAAATTTGTATTGCGCAGCGTAAAAGGTGGCGCCCAAACTACGATTTTTGCTGCCATTGATCCCGCCATAGAAAGCGACAGTGGTGAATATTATCACAACATGAAACGGGGAAAACTAGCCAAGTTGGCCAAAGATGAAAAGTTGGCCGAATGGCTGTGGAAGGAGAGCGAGCTGATGGTAGGATTAAAATAAAGAATTAAAAATATAAAAATTTGTTTTAAATTTAATAACTGTTTTGGTCGATAAAATTATTTTCGGGATTGAGAGCAAACAATTTTTATTTGTTGTTTATTCCAGTACTTATTTTGAATAGAAGATCTGGTTAAAATCAGGGATCCACTCCTACTTTTTATACCTTACACCACATAGTGGTAAGGGTAATATGTCTTTGTGTATTTGTTTGTAACAGGAAGAAGGAAGCTAGATAGACCCATAGTTAATTTTGAGGATCTTCTTAGAACCTCTTTCTGTCTCGATTTATGCATGTCAGTCCGTCCGCCAGTCCATGTATTTTTGTGAACAAAATGCAGGTCGCATTTGTTATCCAATTGAGATGACGTTTGCCAAACAACATTTGCTTGGTCCAAGGACGAACTCTATTGAAATTGGTGAGAATCGGTTCAAATTTTGATATAGCTTCCATATAAAGGGTGAGATGAAAAAACTGCAATCAACTGCAGACTGCTGTCATTTCTAAGCCAATCCGACAGCGGTTAAAATTATTCCAGTGACAGCTCATTAAATTGTTTACAAGCGTAAAAAAGCATTTTGGTGAGAAATATCCCCAAAAAAAGTTATTCGTGATGGAATTCAAGCGTGATAGTGTGATTTCTTTTTATTTGGCTGGAAAACCACAAGTGGCTATCGTTAGAGCACTCAAGCATTTAAATGTGAATAAATCTTTTGTGTCTCGTACCATCGCTCGTTACCGTCAGCAGAAATGGTTCGAAAAGTAAAGAAGCGACGGCCGAAAAATGGCTCGTGAGCTGAACATATCGCAATATTCCATTCAGCAAATATTGAAAAATTAGCTCGGGGTAAAGTCATTGAAATTTCAAAAAGTGCAAGAACTTACACCGCAACGGAAAGAAAATAGACTCAAAAGAGATAAAGAGTTGCTTTGCTTGGCCGAAAAAGATCGTGTACTTACCAAAGAGGTCAGCTAAAAATGTGCACCTTCGGTTTGCACCAGAACTCAAGCGCCGGCCATGCTGATGGTGTGGGCCGCCATAACAGCCGATGGTCGCTCTCCGCTCGTATTAATCGACCGTGGCATCAGCATAAATGCCGAATATTATCGCGAAATGCCGCAGACCTTGGACATTGCAACAGGACTCAGCACGCGCCACCCAAGAATGGTTACACCAAAATCTCCGGATACCAATCCGTTGGACTATTGTGTCTGGAGTATTTTGGAAAGCAAGGTGGACAAGCGCTTCACCGGGAATGGGCCAAAATACCGCAGAGCAACATTCGGGCAGCGTGTGACTGCTATTTTCGACATTTTTTGCTTTCATTCACTAAAATTTAAACAAAAATGTAAAAAAATAATGGCGTTTGAATTTGTTGCAGTTTTTTTATCTCACCCTCACATGCGTCCTTCACATGCGTAATATGCACTCCACAACAATAATCTTTTTAACCCGATTTCGTATACAGCCCAGAAGAAAAAGTTTAACATTTTGTCAACATCCGATTCATTTTATTTTTGTGCACTAAATGACTAATATCAGCCAAAATGGACTGAATTGTGGCACTTCCGACGGAATTCAGCCTAAAAGAAAGTGCTTCAAATTTTGATGAATACCCGTTCAGACATACCTTTAGATCCCATATATATGTTTCATCCCATTTGGTGTTAAAGTCCCACAATGATATTTGATACCGGGCATCAGATACGGCTCGAAAATGCCTCTGCCAAATTTTATCCAAATGGTTTCAGATTTTTATACGGCTTTTATATACATCTTCATCCGATTTTACGGTTATTGACCACCATATATGTAATATCAGCTTAATTTGAAAAGATTTTTTTATATTCAACCGAACCAAACTCGGTCCAGTATATCTATTGCTCCAATAAATATTTGTATACCCTACAACACTGTGTGTTGGGGGTATTATAAGTTTAATTGAGCTAAAAATTATGTAACACCTCGACATAAGAAACTATATATGAGTTGAGTTGAGTCGATCTAGCTATGTATGTCCGTCCGTCCATCTGTCAATATTAATTTATAATCACTCTACAGGTCGCAATTATGGCCCGATCCTCACGATATTCAAAAAAGTGCAGGGCAAATAGTACGTTTATATATATGAGGGTTAACCCACTGAATTTGGATTTAAATTGTCATACCCATTACTTTTACTTCAAATAAATCCTCTCAAAGTAGGTTAACCCTACAAAAAGTTCTAACGTAAACATGACATAAGGGTCAAAATAGAAGCCTATTGTTTTTGGAGGTGATCGCAAACCACCATAAATTTATGTAAATAAGCGCTTTATGTATTCCCACCTTTAGTTATTCCGCTTATAAGTCAAGAACCGCTTGACTGATTTTCACAATTCTCGTCAATTCGGAATGGTCTCTTGCCAGAAAAGGATAAAATCTAAGAAAAATCGCGAAAAATATGTCAATAGAAAAGAGAATATTTTTGTTGCTATATTTCAATTTTTGTCATAGTTTTTATTATGGTACAATAAGGAGGTAGAACAGCTTTGTAAAACTTCAGAAATACAGCCCTGAGGCTATGCCCGCATCCTGTCAAAATTAATCAAAGTTATAGGCAACAAGTTATTTTCATTTATTTGATATTTTTCGTTCATTTCTAATTTTTCGTTCTGGATGTTCTCTCAAAAATTTGATCCTATGTGTTCAATCTTTCAGTTCCATGGCAAAACTAGTTAATATTATTAATGCGCCCCTGCAATCTAAGTTTCTTTTAATCATTGTTTTGAAAACATTTTGTTTTTATTTTTCAAAACAACAAATACATACACAAAATTGGCAGAAGTCGGGCACACTTAGAAAAAAATTGTAATCAGCTGCGAGCTCAACCTTACCTTTTTATTGTACCATGGTTTTTATCGCATGCGTTTTATTTTATTTAATTTTTTGTTATTACTTACACTTTTAAATTGCACATTTTCTAAAGTTTTTCTACACCCCGCAACACTAATTGTTGAGGGTATTATAGAAAGGTCGCAATTATTGTCCGATCCTAACGAAATTTTACATTGGGGTAGAGTTAGGCTCAAAATTAAAGCCTACTACTATGGAGATGTAACTTTAGAGGTTCACATGGACCAAAAAATGAAAATTTTCCTTTTAGTATCGTAAATAAGCTATATAGGTCTACGTGTTGGTATAGACCCCATACAACGATACCTTCCTATATTCCGTGTTTTGATGATTTTTGACATTACCCACCGGAATTGTTTCAAATTTCGTATTGGCAGTTCGTAACGGATACTACAGCCTGTGACAGAAAATTAACGTTACTGTTATTACAGAGCTGTTTTATTAGACGAAAATTGTGCTTCTAGAACCCTGTACATCGAAATTATCGATCTTTTAGAACTCTTCACATAATTGACTTTTTTGTTTTGATTATTCCTTTATCACACATTTGCCCTTTGTAGACTGATTCTACTTTGTAATTTTAACTCCTCCGTGGCCTCCGTGGGTGTCGGTTCAAGCTTTCTTCTCTTCTTAAGTGAATAAATATTAGAAAATTAAATTCATAAAATCTTGTGGTAGTGCAAATCAGCAGAGTACCAACGGAATAAAGCAAAAAAGGATGATATTTTCCTGAATGAGTAACAATTAGAAGCATAAAACAAATAGGAAGCTTCTATATAAGCAAAAAAGTGAACATACATATACACAAGAAATTTGTGGATACCAGTGTTTTCTATGAAAATAGGTAAAGGTATTCGTTGCGAAAAATGTGTGGAGGTAATGCTCCCCAGTTCCGCTTTTATGAATCCTTCAGTTTTACAACAATTATATGATTTATATAGAAATAATCCGGGCATCTTTGTACAAGATTAAGTTTAGCCTAAACCACAGAGGCACTCCCTCAAATATGTTTAATCGATGAACGTCCGCCCACGACCTCCGAACGATGCAGTGTATTATCCCTGGACGCTTCATTGTTTTTAACTTTTCAGCCAACTTTATTTGACTTAAATGTTGCTGTTAACAATACAACATACACAGCTTTTTTTCGAAAAAAGAATATATTTTGGGAAAGGGAATCTATCCTACTCCTTTTTTAAAATTTTATTAAATGAAGACAAAAAATGTCGGAAATAGCGTCACATTTTAGTATAATTTTAGATTTGTTTGAATTTGTCACTTTGAATGGTCACCATTCAAACGACCAATGAAACCGTCACACGCTACCCGAATGTTGCTCTGTGGTATTTTGGCCCATTCTCGGCGAAGCGCTTGCTTGAGGTGATCGACACTTTGGTATTTTGTAGTGCCAACCTTGCTTTTCAAAATACTCCAGACACAATAGTCCAACGGATTGGTATCCGGAGATTTTGGTGGCCATCGTGCGCTGAAAATGGAACCTCATTTTGTAACCATTCTTGGGTGGCGCGTGCTGAGTCCTGTTGGAACGTCCAAGGTCTGGGGCCAAAATGTTTGTGTGCCCAAGGCTTTAATACACCCTCCAGAATATTTATTCTGATGCCACGGTCGATTAATACGAGCGGAGAGCGACCATTGGCTATTATGGCGGCCCACATCATTACCATGACCGGCGCTTGAGTTCTGGTGGCCAACTGAAGGTGCAAATTTTTAATCACACTATCACGCTTGAATTCCATCACGAATAATTTTTTTTCTGGCAAATTCTCGCCAAAATGCTTTTGTACGCTTGTAAACAACATAATGAGCTGTCACTGGAATAATTTTAACAGCTGTCGGATGAGTGGCTTAAAAATGACAGCAGTCTGAAGTTGGTTGCAGTTTTTTCATCTCACCCTGTATTAAAGATTTCAATATTTTACCCCAATATTAGGAAATCCCTTGAAGATATAACATCTTCAATCCACTAATGTTTTGCTTATGTATTTCAGATCTGGCTGCTATTCTGTATCTTTAGTTTATGGTAATCGAGTAAAGGATTTCAGAAATAACCTATTAATTACAGCACAGAGCTGCCTAAAACCTTAACAAAGTGTCGAACAGTGAAAAGAACAAATCCAAAATAAAATCAAAAGTCTATGAACCCAAGTTGATGCTAAGGGCCATTTTAGGGTCGGATACGACCAACGACTCGCAGGAGGAACAGTCCCAGAGTATGTATTTTTACATAAGCCTTGGTATATTCACTTCATTTCTAATTTACTTTTCACTTTTCCCTACAGCTGCTTCCTCCTCCCACAGTAGCCGTCATTACAGTGGCGGTTCGAGCTGCCGCTCAATATCTTCAAGTGCGGTCTTGAGTGGTTACACCCCATCTGCATCAATATCCAATAACGATTACGGTACACCAGCAACCGTAGCACCATCCACTGGTCCCACACAGTGTGTAGCATGCGAAGCTGATAAACAACACCAATTACAACAGGCTCATCATTCACATCATTCGTCGGAGGGAGAGCGTAAAAGTCGCCGCAGCAGAATGTCACACTCTAGTTCAAGTTCAATGCGAGGCACCTCATCGCGTGGCTGTACATCGCACAATTCCAAGTCTGTGTCTCCGGGTAGTTACAGTTGTAATGCTTTAAATGTTGATTTCAGCACATACACAGCCACCCATCAGTGGTCCAAAATGTTGGAGTGTGCCGAATTTGTGGGTGCCAAGTAGGTGTTTTAAAATCATTTAAATTCTAAATGTTTGTAACTGATAATATTTCACATTTTCCTTCCTTTTTTAAGGCGATCGAAGCACACCGTTGTGGCCTACAAAGATGCCATGTATGTCTTTGGCGGTGACAACGGCAAAACCATGCTCAATGATTTGATACGATTTGGTGTTAAGGATAAGTCATGGGGACGGGCTTGTGCCACAGGTACACCACCCGCTCCACGTTATCATCATTCGGCTGTCGTCTATGGCAACTCAATGTTCATATTTGGTGGTTATACTGGCGATATTCACAGCAATTCAAATCTCACAAATAAAAATGATCTCTTTGAATATGAATTTCAACGCGCCATGTGGGTTGAATGGAAATTTTCGGGAAAGTAGGTATATGCAAAGGGTCAATGCAAAAGGCCAGCATGTTCAAGATGATTCTTTGACAAATTATAGAATGCCTGTACCACGTTCGGCTCATGGTGCTGCAGTGTATGATGATAAAATGTGGATATATGCCGGATATGATGGTAATGCACGTTTAAATGATATGTGGACTTTAAATTTAACCGTAAGTAAATATGTTGAGATTTTTGAAATTTACTTCAGAAATTACAGCAGAATATACACAACTCGTAATGACAATTGTCCAGGAAAATTGGAAGATTTTCTGAGATTTTGATTTTGATTATTAAGTATAATAATTATATAACGGGTTTGCCAGAGCTTTTGGCTTGGGCTGTTGTTTTAGAGATTCTCGGACAGGACGTGTTTTTAGTGTTGAGTTTGTAAAGAAAGTTGATTTGTACTTGTTAAACATGCCTCAGGACACAAAAACTGAAGTTATCTTTTACATTCTAATAGGGAGAGAACCATCAATGGGAAGAAGTTGAACAAAAAGGAGACTGCCCACCTACATGCTGCAATTTTCCCGTGGCCGTAGCCCGTGACTGCATGTATGTCTTTTCCGGGCAAAGTGGCATGCAGATCACAAATTCCCTGTTCGAATTTAATTTCAAAACGTTAACGTAAGTATTTCGGTCAATTTTATTTGCCACGAGTTTTATTAACACTTTCCCCCCCTTACAGTTGGCGTCGTATTGGCAACGAAAGTGTTTTGCGTGGTGTTAGCTCTCAGCCTCCATCAAGACGTTATGGTCATACAATGGTTCATCACGATCGTTTTCTCTATGTATTTGGCGGCTCCGCTGACTCCACATTACCAAATGATTTGCATTACTACGATTTAGATACTCAAGTGTGGTCCATTATTCAACCAGAACCAAATTCTGATATACCTTCGGGTCGAGTATTCCACGCTAGTGCCGTAATAAGCGATGCCATGTATATTTTTGGTGGCACTGTCGATAATAGTGTACGACGTGGCGATACTTATCGTTTTCAATTCTCCAGTTATCCCAAATGCACGCTGCGCGATGATTATGGGAAATTTTTCAACGAAAAACAATTTTGTGATATTCAGTTTATACTAGGACCAGAAGAGGTGAAGATTATGGCTCACATAGCATTTGTAGCAGCCAGATCTAAATATTTGAGAACAAAGATATTGGCAGCCCGCGATGCTAGGCAACAGCAAATGGAAAAAGTCTTTGGTACAGGTTGCATAGAGGTACGGCCATGCTCGTCCTCGTCTAATCAAGGACCACTCTTGGAAGTACGTTTGCCCAATGCCAATCCAGAGGCATTTGAAATTATATTAAATTACATTTACACGGATCGTATAGATCTCAAGGAGTCGTATAACAAAAATATTATTATACTCATAACGGATATCTACCAACTGGCTGGATTATTTCTAATGCCGCGTTTAGCTCATGGCTGTATACAGTATTTGGATTATAAGATAAATAAACAAAATGTTCTGGAGGCCCTGTACAATGCGGACAAGAAGAAGTGAGTTCATTAAATAAATGTTATATTTATTGAAATTAACAATCAACTATTTTTTTGTAGAATACAAATAGTCAAGGATCATTGCATGCAGTTTCTGGTCAAGGAAGAAAACTTTACCGATGTTGTTATGTCCAATGAATTTAGTGATTTGGACAAGCCTTTGCTGGTGGAAATTATACGCAAAAAATTAAGTCCAGGCAAACTAGTTGTGGCCGATTCTAATTTAGATAAGAACGTGGGTATGTAGACTTACCCCTTGTAGTTCGTGTTAATATATTATTGTTTTTAATTTATGATTTAATTTATTTGCCAAGGTACCACATTGGAAAGTGATATGGCCGTATTTTTGGAATCAACTGGCAAAGAATTTTGCGATATTAATCTGGTATTAGATGGTCAGGTAATAATGGCCCACAAATCTATACTTTCGGCTAGGACACAATATTTCCAGGCAATGTTTAGGTCTTTTATGCCACCAGATAGTACAGTTAATGTAAGTAGAAATGTTAAAGGATACCATTATTGTAATAAGGACATGGAATAACATAATTTTTTTCAGATTTCTATTGGTGACATATTACCATCGGTCGAAGCGTTCCAATCCCTATTACGTTACATATATTATGGCGAAACAAAATTACCACCCCAAGATGCACTCTATCTATTCCAAGCACCACATTTTTATGGTTTATCCAATAATCGTTTACATTCGTTTTGCAAATATTCCCTTGAACACAATATAACCTATGAGAATGTCCTCCAAACCTTGGAGGCATCAGATTACACGAAAATTTTCGATATTAAAGAGCATGCTCTCAAATTGATTGTTAAGGATTTTGCCCGGGTGGCGCGGCTACCGAAAATCGCATGTCTCTCGCGTGAACTACTGTTGGAAATCATACGAGCGGTGGCCGACTCACATGGTGAATTCCTAACACGTATTAGTATTAATACAGATATCTGAAAATTGGTGTTATTACAGCCTGCTTTGCGTTTTCTATTGGCCTGGCTGCAAAGAGCGGGCAACAGCAACCACAAATCTGCATGACACCGTAAAAATTGCAGTAGCAGTAGTGCAACAAGGAAAAATAGTAATGTAGAAAAAAAATATTTTCTTGAATGTTGTTGTTTTAACTTCATTGCCCAACAACAAGGAAGAACAATTTATGTGTATTTTTTTTATTCATTTATATGTCTGTTTGTTTCTTCATTTTCAATATTGTGGTTTGGTATACTGCTGGTCCTAGTATATTACTATCCCAAAAATTGTTCCTTCCAAACTTTCCCTCTGAATACAAAGCATGTTTTATGTGTAACAAGTATCCTCTTATGTTTAGTTAAATATGTACGTTATAACTGATAATTTTATTTTATATTTAATATGAAATAGAATGAAAGCGTACAAAAAAAAAGAATTAAAATAAATATAAATAGCTATGATTATTCAAAATGTAAAGAAAGTTGCCTAATATTTTATTGGGAATTACTTAGAAATGTATATGCAAACGCTTTAAGCCAATTTGGATGATACAGATTCTGCTCCATCTTGAAGTTATTTCAAAACGGTTTGGGGAAATGAAGATGTTCATTAATTTCAACTTCAAGAGCTCTTGCACTGGACAAAACCTACAAATACAGGGTGAGATGAAAGAACTGCAACCAACTTTAGACTGCTGTCATTTCTAAGACACTCGTCCGACAGCTGTTAAAATTATTCCAGTGTCCAGCAGTAAACAAAATGATCGTGTTTACTTGCCAAAGAGGTAAGCTGAAAATGTGCACCTTCGGTTGGCCACCAGAACTCAAGCGCCAGCCATGATGATGGGCCGCCATAACAGCCGATGGCCGCTCTCCGTTCCTATTAGTCGAACGGGGCATCAGAATAAATGCCGAATATTATCGCGAAAATATTCTGGAGGGTGTATTTCGGTGAAGCCTTGGGCACGCAGACCTTGGACATTCCAACAGGACTCTGCACCATCGCTCATGGCACTCAGCACGCAGCACCCATGAAAGGTTACAAAATAAGATTCCTCGCTTCATTTCCAGCGCACAATGGCCACCAAAATCTCCGAATATCAATCCGATGGACTATTGTGTCTGGAGCATTTTGGAAAACAAACTTGGCACTAAAAAATACCAAAGTGTCGATTACCTCAAGCAAGTGCTTCGCCGGGAGTGGGCCAAAATTCCGCAGAGCAACATTCGGGCAGCGTGTGACGGTTTCATTGGCCGTTTGAAGGCCATAATTGGTGCCAAAGGTGACTCCTTCGAACAAATCTAAACTTATTTTAAAACTTGATGCTATTCCGACATTTTTGCTTTCCTTCAATTCTTGCAGTTTTTTATCTCACCCTGTATATGTTACATCCCCCAATGAAATGCTTGACCAATTGAACGAAAAATTAAATCGATTTATATTTACCACACTGGTTCGAATACACTTACCTGATCGCAAGTAAAAATTGTATAATGGGACCTTGTTCTCAAATCTGTTGCCCTTTTGAAATGCGGTGTAGGACACAACAAACTTGTTATCTTTCAGAGAAATATATATTTTATAAATCCATAACTCAAATATTTCAATTGTACAATTTAATACAAAAAATGGAATTCTAAAATTATCATAGTCTTAACTCTCTAGTTAATAGGATGGCACATTATTGCCCATATTTTAAATGCAATACTATCGGAAGTGTTTATTATTAATTGAGACTTTGATGCTATATCAATCCTCCATTCCATCTTGTGATTTGTTCATTTTTCCCGTTTCCAGTCGCAATACCTGCACCGACTGTTCTAAACACTTGATTTGTTCATTCAGAGCTTCTTGCTGTGAACGCAATGTCAAATTATACGGTCTTATCATTTGTGCTGCCTCCTGAATATCATCCAAACACTCAAGTAAATCCATTATTTTACTATGCGCATCGCCATAGTCATCTGAGGTATTTGGATCAATACATTCTTCGAATTCACATAGCTGTTTATATATGCTGCCAACACGATTATTAATACTTTCCACCTGGAAGAGAAGATAGTTTATTGCCAACATATAGATCAATTAAAATAAAATAAAAAAAATATTTGTTGGAGCAATAGAATGTGAAAAAATCTATTCAATTTGGGGCTGATATTACATACATATATGGTGAGCAACAACCCTAAGATGAGATGAAGATGTATATCGAAGCTAGATAAAATCTGAACCGATCTCGAGCAGTATCTGAACCCCGGTATCATTGTTGTGGAGTGCATTTAAAATATGCGAGGGACTTTAAGACTTTTCTGCTAAGATTTGTATTGAATTGGATTTTCTTAAAATTTAAGTCTGTTGTGTACGTGGGCAGTTCTTCTGTTTGGAACGTCATTTTTAACTGTTCACTGGAGTTGGAGGTATGTTTGTTTACAGTAAGAATTATGGGCTAACATGTTTTGATGGATATCAGCTAAACAGAATTATAATTTGTCTGGGACTAATACACTTCTTCAGCCTCAAAAGGAAACTAGTCTGAAACTAAGATCTATGGAATACGATGCTTTACAAAAACAATTTTAGTGGACATTACTTACCAGTTTTAAATGTTCCTCATTCAAGGAGTCTTTAAGGGAACTCATTTTCAAACAATACACCCTCCTGTTAAATGTGCCGCAACTGCTACTTTCCAAAATTCTAATTTCTCCTATGGCATGGTGACAAAATCAAAAGCGTTCCAAATACTGTGAATAAGGTGGACAGAAGCAAACGACCGATAAAGCATGATAAATACTTTGTTTACGAAAGTGTAGAAAGCAAAACGACTAACTGCAATTTTCTGTGCTTACGAATAGTGCAAAGAGGAAGACGCCAGCTGGCAGAAGCTCTGTTCCTTCACGTGCAAAAATATTCAATATTTTATTTTTAATATGATAACGAAAGTTCAAAGCCAAATTTAGCTGTGGGCATGGCACAATTACAGAATGTAGAACAAAGCTACCTTCTCAATACAATGCTGCTCCTATTTTGTCAAAACATGTACACTGTCTGTATATGTGGGTGTGCATTGTTTTGAATAAAAATGAAAATAATTTGAAATTATTTCAAATATAGATGCAAACATGGTACAATGAAGAGAAGGTAGGTCAACTTTGAAAAAATTGCAAATATAGAGGTCTACCTGTTTGGCTTGTAATGTCAGAATTAGTATCAAAGCAATAAAAAATTAAACAGCTTGTTGCATTTATTTTGAATAAATAATTGAAAACCGCGAAAACTGAATGAAAGGTCAACACTTCTTTTCAAAACCACTTTCTATATATCTTTAAAGGATTATTTCACTACAAAAACTCTAGATTTTGTCGATGCATACGATGAAATAAACATTTTGAAAACATCCGAATTTGAATGTTTTCTGAACAATTTTTTGTTATTGAAAAGAAAACACATACATAAACAAATAAAGATGACATATTAAGCCAAGAAAATAAAAAAATTGAAAACATATGGTATCATAGCCCTACCTTGATGTCATTGTACCATGGATGCAAATGCACAATTAACACTCTATTTTTGGTGAAATTTAGTGAAAAGCCCAATATTTCATTCATGTTTTGTGAGTTTTTTCAATATCTATGTAAGGAAAAAAAATGTTCAATTTTTGTAGTGAAATAAATCTTTAGAGATATTTAGAACAAGATTTTAAAAAGATAGTATGACTTTTCATTTAAATTTCGCGTTTTTTAATTATTTATTCAAAATCAATACAACAAGTTGCATTTGTTTTGATAGTGATTCTGACATTAAAATCCTTGCAGGTAAAACTCATTAAGTGCAACCTTTTCAAATTAGCCTACCTTGGGTTCATTGTACCATGGATTGTAGTATCAGTTGTAGTACCCATTAAGATCTTTCAATATGAAATTTGAAAAAAATCCGATCTACAATATCGCTAAAATCATCGAAATACTGAATAATTAGAGGTACCGTTATATGGGGAATTCAAGCGTGATTTCTTTATAATTGGCTGGAAAAGCAAAAGTGGCTATTGTTGGAGCACTCTAGCATTTAAATGTGAATAAATCTTTTGTGTCTCATACCATCGCTCGTTACCGTGATAACCGTGATACTGGGGGCATAGCCCGACGTCAAAGAAGTGGACGGAAGCAAAAAGAAACAGGAACACCAACAGAAATGGTTTGAAAAGCAAAAAAGCGACTTGATCGAAACCCGCGTCACAGTGGCCGAAAAATGACTCGTGAGCTGAACATATCGCAATATTCGGTAAATATTGAAAAATGAGCTCGATGTAAAGCCAAAAAGTGCAAGAACTTACACCGAAACAGAAAGAAAATAAACCCAAAAGAGCTAAAGAGTTGCTTCTCTTGGCCGAAATGGTGAACTGCCGAATTTGGTTTTCACAGATGGGAAAGTATTCGTTGTCCAGCAGTTTGTAAACAAACAAAATGATCGTGTTTACTTACCAAAGAGGTCAGCTGAAAATGTGAACCAGAACTCTAGCGCCGGCTATGGTGATGGTGTGAGCCGCCATAACAGCCCCCTCGTATTAATCGACCATGAATGATATCAGAATAAATGCCGAATATTATCGCGAAAATATTATGGAGGGTGTACTAAAGCATTGGGCACTCAAACATTTTGGCCGCAGACCTTGGACATTCCAACAGGACTCTGCACCATCGAACTCATCATGCGCCACCCAAGTATGGTTACTAAATAAGGTTCATCGCTCCATTTCAAGCGCACAATGGCAACCAAAATCTCAGAATACCAATCCGTTGGACTATTGTGTCTGGAGCATTTTGGAAAACAAGCTTGGCACTAAAAAAGCAAGCACTTCGCTAGGAATGGGCCAAAATACCGCAGAGCATTATTCGGGCAGCGTGTGACTGTTTCATTGGCCGTTTGAAGGCCATAATTCCCGCCAAAGGTGACCAATTCGAAAAAATCTGAACTTATTCCAAAATTTGATGTTATTTCCGACATTTTTGCTTTCATTCAATAAAATTAAAAAAAAAAATGTAAAAATTATAGCGTTTGACTTTGTTGCAGTTTTTTTATCTCATCCTGTACTTTATTGGGTCTGACATGAGTATTTCGCGGAGTTACAAACGGAATGACAAATTTAATATACCTTCTATAGTTTGGTGGAGGGTAAAAAAATAGTTATGGAATTAATTTTAAAAGTTATTTGAGAACTATGACTTCCGATATAAAAAAGGGTTACTCAGACCGATGACATTACCTTGATAAATGCACCAGTTACGCACTCAAGCATTTTGGTAAATATCTTAATTAGCAAATAAAAACCTAATGCCATATTTACGTTAGAACTTTTTGTAGGGTTAACCTTCTTTGAGAGGATTTATTTGAAGTAAAAGTAATGGATATGACAATTTAAATCCAAATCCAGTGGGATAATCCTCATATATATAAACGTACTATAAGATTGAAAAAATGGGACTTTTTAATTTTTGCCTACGGAATTTAGCAAAAGTTTTTTATATTTTTCACAGAAAGGAACAGAGCTATTGATCGACTGAGTCAGCCACTGTTTCCATTTGGCTATCAACGCTGAATGTCCAGTTCTTCTTCTTCTTCAATCAGTTGTGTTAACGCGCGTGCTTTCATTCATTTAAAATTGTTAAATTGAAGGTATTTTCAAGTTTGTGACGATTTTATTCTAGATTTTAAATCTTTGGCTTATTTATTCGATTTTTTTTTTGAATCGTAACCATAATAGTTGGAATTGTGAATGGATATATTCTTAAAATTGTAAAGTTAGTTCCCCATAAAGTAGTTGTAAGCTATCAATGCAAAGTACCCTTCGTTTAAAGTTTAAAGAAAACCTCCCTTCAGTTTAAAATTTTGATGGATTCTCCCACATCGTTAAACTGGGGTTATTATTGTCTAATCAGAATAATCAGATTATTTAGCGACTATTCGAAAACTGTTGGAGTTTATGCAACAATTAATTCTTGGCCTTCTACAAATCTGTGTGTTCCAACAACTGAGGACGCTATAATTTTGTGCTACGTTAATCTTGATTTGTTTCTTCTTTTTTTTTCCAGATTATTATACAGAAGCAAGTTATAGATAAGTGCCTTAAAAATGCACTATTTAACGGCATTACGAGCCGGTGTTGAACCAACAGTAAGATAAAATAAATATAATATTATTACAATATTAAATCTTTTTTGATTCCAGATTGTAGCTCGCGATTTTATACAAGAATTCGTGTTTAGTTATATCAGTTCTGGCGAAATTTCTTTAGAACTGATATGTAATTTTATTAATGATACTCTACTAGCTATTGGCATACCAGGACAAATAACACCTGAGCAGATAGACTATGGTCCCAATAGTTATCAGTGGCCTACCGAAGTTTTGCAAATCTATAGTTTTCACTGCAATAATTTTGAATTCGCCTCTGTGGAAATGTTTTTATTGGCCATTTGCAAAGAAACTCACGAACAAACTGAGCAATTTTTGAATAAAGTCGATTGTGATGATGGCGACGAGCTCAGTGATTTGGAAACACCTATAGAATTACTAACACAATTGATGGGAGGTTGGCGCAGTGCTTATAAACAATTGTTAATGGGGAACAATTGGGGAACAGCACAAAAGTTCAAAGAACCATTGGCCAGAATAAGTAAGTAAATAGATATACCTACCCATGGTACAATGAATTCAAGGTAGGGCAGAACTACCATATGATTTAAATTTTTTTATTTTTCTGGCTTAATATGTCAACTTCATTTGCTTATGTGTGTGTCTTCTTTTCAATATTACAAAATTGTTCAGAAAATATTCAAATTCGGGTGTTTTCAAAATGCTTATTGCAACGAAAGCATCGACAAAATCTACAGTTTTTGTCGCGAAATAAACCATAAGAGATATATAGAACATGCTATTGAAAAGAAATTTTGACCATTCATTCAGTTTTCGCGATTTTAAAGTATTTATTCAAAATCAATGCAACAAGTTGTTTGCTTTTTTATTGTTTTGATAGTAATTCTGACATTACAAGCCAAACAGGTAGACCTCTATACTTGCAATTTTTTCAAAGTTGACCTACCTTCTCTTCATTGTACCATGTACCTACCCATAATTGATGACATGATTTGAAATATTTTGATATTTTTTTTGGTAGATGTTTGCTTATTGGAGGGTATGCACAAACTACGAATGTCATATCGCAGTGCATTAAGCATATTGGATAGGATTTGTAAAATCCTATTTGATAGTGCTTTACAAGGACTTTGGTATGAAGTTGAGAATATATACCCCTACTAGTTTAGCTGTCATTTTAATAAAATTGTGTCATTTTCTCTCTAATGATATTTTATACTCCTTAACATTTCAGTTATAAGCAATCCAGTGGTCCCATAATCGATCGTATACTTATACTTATTTCTAAAGACTTGGAAATATTTAAGGATTCCTTAGCGGATTTCTTCTATGAAATATTATCATTGGAGGTACATGAGTGCTTTTACTTGTCTTTAAAACATCTACCAACATATATTAACAGTACACGCCAGGTATTCTGAAAATGTATCATGGATTAAATATTATGCTGGAAGAAAATGAAGATCATCGCCTGAAAATTTTAACTGACATTCTTATAGAACGAAAATTTTTGGATGTATATTATACTACGTTGAGACAAGAAGGTACGGATGTAGCAAAAATGCAACTGGAAACATTGAAATTTTTGAAAATCCTACAAAGGTACGTTTTTTGAGATACAGGAATTAAAGAATTTTTCGATTAAAATTGTTATTTATTTATTTTTCTGTAGTAAACTCATAACATTGGACTGCTTTTCACGAGATTTCATGGAAGCAATATTAAATTTGGTTTTACAAAATAAAAAGAAGATTTCCCATGTGGCTTGTTCTTTATATGTGGCCATGATGAAACGTAAAATGACTGATGATTTTATATTCAAGCATATCCTCAAATTTTTTATGAAGTATATGGTAAATATAAAAAAAAAAAATCAAGAAAAATAGATTTTAAAATCCGATATTTACAGACCTCAAGATATCAATTGATGGATTATGTAAAGCATTTCTATAATAATTTTGAGTATTTCCAATGTGTTCATAACTTTTTTAATATCATTGTGAACGTGAAAAATGCCGATGACCTACGTTTACTTAGCTCTCATGTGGTTTTGTTAATTATTGAAATGAATTTTGAAACAAATGGTATGTTGTGCAATATAAAAGGCTTCTGTAAGGAACCCGCCAGCCCATGAATATGAATATAAAGCCTCCAATATGTAGATGAATCTGTTCAAAAAGAGACTAAAATCTTTTATTAATTTTAAACATTTTTCTTTCATTTTTTTAGAATCGCCCACAATTGAATTAGAACCCATTGTACAAATAATACCTGAAATATTTGAGAAAATCGATCTTGAAAAATGTTATGGAATTTTACTTGGAATTTTTAATTATATTGACATGCAAATGCTTCAAGGAGAGGTTCTATATATTAATTTTAGTTATTCAATTCTAAAACATATTTATCTTTTAGACCTTGGATCACATCACCTACTATGCAGAGCATATATTTAAGAACCTTGATAAACATTACGAGTATGCCTTGCTTATGAATGTTTTTAGTGTTTTTCACAAATGTTTGATTGTAACACAAGAATGGCAACATTTGGAATTGATTAGTGATGAATTGATGTTCAAATACTATGGCATGATACGAAAACTGGAAATGAAACAAGACAAAAAACGTAGAGTAAGTTATGATTTCACCAAATAATTATTCATTCCCAAAAAAAATTATTTTCAAAGAAACTCCCATTTGATTTTTACGCCAATTTTCTGGAGATTTTAAAACGTATAAATATAATTATTAAAACTCGTTATGAGACGTTTGATAATCTCGAAGATGTGATACGCAGTTTGCAGGAAAATGTATTGGACAGTAATCGTAAAGAATTCCAAGAAAAGAATATTGGTAAGCGCCGTGTGGAAACAAACAGTACGAACTTATAAAGCAATGTTTTTAATTTTTAGATATATTTGCCATTGAAATATGTGTATCCAGTCTAATTCATGAAGCCAAAAAGGAATCGCCCACAAGCATTTTAGATTCCATTTGTTTTGGAAAAGCTCAAGATATATCAAAATATTTGATAAATTGCTTGAAAAACATAAACGAACCAACCAAGCTACCAGCCTTTCGTTTGAAAGCTGTAAGTTAAATCTATGGATACTGCATTAATTATTTTCATTATTCATTTGTTTTTATTCTTTAGTACTTTTGCAGTCTTCTTAATCTGTATTGCCATTTTCCCATTACTCTCACAACCAATTTCTATTGTTATTTGGCTGAAATTTTATCAGGGCTCCACGGTTTATCCAAACATGATTACAGCCAATTATCTGACGATGATCATCCGTATCTGGCATTTGAATATCATCGCATAATGTTTGAACATTTTGCTGAACTACACAAATATCAACATATCGAAGTAAAATCCCACATAGTATGGAAACTTTGTATACATTATGGCGAGGTAAGATTTGAAATGAACGTTTTTATACCCTCCACCATAGTATGAAGAGTAAATTAAGTTTATCATTCCGTTTGTAACACCTCGAAATATACGTTTTAGGCCCCACAAAGTATATATATTCTTGGTCAGCATAAAATTCTATGTGGATTTCTCGAAGTCCGTCCATCTGCCCGTCTGTGGAAATGACTCTAGTTTGCCAACGAAGTGAAGTAGATTGATAAAATTTTACTCAAATGTATATTATATCTGCAGAACTTTTGGTATTGAAAATGGGCCATGTAGGTCCACGTTTTGGTATAGCCCCCATATAACGGTACCTCCCGATATTCGGTATTTTGATGATTTTATTTATTATTCGCCGGAATTGTTTCAAATTTGATATTTGAAGTTCGTAATGGATACTACAGCATATGACAGGAGATTGTCTGTACCTCCCGATATTCGGTATTTTGATGATTTTAGCCGCATTATTTACCGCAATTGTTTCAAATTTGATATTTGAAGTTCGTAAGGAATACTGCAGCCTAAGACAAAAAATTGTCTGTACAGGTCCCTGTCTTCATATAGCCCCTATATAACGGCACCTCCCGATATTTGGTATTTTGATGATTTTAGCGGCATTATTTACCGCAATTGTTTCAAATTTGGTATTTGAAGTTCGTAATAGATACTACAGCCTATGACAGAAAAGTGTCGATGCAGGTCCACATTTTGGTATAGCCCCCATAAAATAGTACATCCCTGTATTATGATTTTAGCTGCATTATTAACCGATTTTTTTTATTCAAGTTTCGCATTTGAATATTGTAATAAGTGACAAAAGTTACGTACCCTAAAAACCCTAATATAACAGCTACATTCCTAATATAACAGCTACATTCCGTATTTTTAAGATTTAAACAGAATTTTTAACGTATTTTTTTTTTTTTGTTTTTGAGAATTGCCAAATTCTTTCCAAATTGAGGAGGGCGAACTTATAGCTTTTTTACTTGTTTTTTTTTTTTTTTTTTTTTTTTAATTATATCCTATAGATGCACAAAACTCTTGCACACTTTGCTAGCATTTGTAAGTGGTGGACAATCTATGATATAATAAAACTATGTCATGATACAAATTCGGAGATTCTGGTATGCTTTTTCCGGTATTCATTTCGCAAATGCATTATCAAATAAACTTCTCACTAAATACTATTTAGAAAAGTACCTCCTTTGCAAAGTATCCAATGGATTATATTTGAATTTCTGCTTTTACAGCAAATTTCATATGATAAAGCTAAGCTCACTCATCCCGTAAAGATAAATAGAAATTCTTTCCTGTTCATTGACTAGTTTTATTTTTGAACAACGCATTTTGTACATCATTCAATAAAAAAAATATTACATTTTATGTAGCATACTTTTGGGGTTACCATTTAATCATCTCTCCTCCTCTTTGTAGCCACACAATAAATTTAACGAAGAACTGAAAGGATTATTAAAAATACTGGCCACAAGTAGAATGAATGTCTATACGCATATTATTGCTGTAATTGTTTATAATCTTTATAAGCAACAACCACCAATGAACAACAATACAATATTGGTAAGTCAACAACAATAACAAAAACATTTTTGGAACAATGATCAAAAAAGTCTAAGTGATGCAATTTTAGATTAAGACAATCTCAGCAGTGGTATTTTTACATCATTAAAAATCACGTTTTTTAGACTCTTCTGTGAAACTTGGATTTGTTTCTTTGTTCTAAAACAAAGAAGCTTTAAAAATTTTTCCATGATAGAAATTTTTTTTATTTCTTTATTGCAGTTACTTTTAAAAAAGCATATGCACCTAATTACCAATGAATTACAAGAAAATTCGCCAAATAATATTAAACTAAGTATTACTCTGTTACTAACCGAAATGATTGAAAAATCTCTAAACGTTCTAAAATTGAGCAATCGACATAATCGTTTAGAGGCTCTAAAACATTTGGATGTTTTTCTCGAGGGCATGGATTTAAGAGAATTACAGGCCGAGCAGTTAATGTAAGTCTACAAAATCATTAGCATCGCCCATTTATACTAATTTTCCATTTATAGTTTAGAGCAGCTGGATGCAATTAGAAAACATTTATTAACAACCGGGGAAATACAAACACTGCAACATTGCCAAAATTTTATAAGCAATTTGTAAATTGCATGTGTTTTTTTGTTTATGCGACGAGTGATGCTAAGGCAAGCAGATGTCTTTCTTGAATTGTTTATTTTTTTTTTTTTTTTTTTGTGGCCTCATTGAATTTATTATTGTATGACAGTTACCAGTCACCCATCACCTTGTTTAAGCATACTGTATTATACATACGTCAGAATTTGTTGTTTGTTTTGATTTATGTCTATTAACACCCCAAACTGAACCTGCCCCGCACAAACAGATACCCGTACTAACTCATAACTTCCTATGTTGACACAGTAATTGAATTGGAAGAGGAGAAGACAAGCCTTTAATACCGTTTGTATTATTAAAATAAAATTTCAGCAATTTTATTTATCTAAACAAGATAATAAGATAATTCATTTTGTGAAAATTTTAAATTATCTCTTGCTCTCTTCTAACGGGCTGTCGTCATAAGATTTATTCTACTTTTTATTGTTATTATTAGTATTGTTAGTTATGTTTGTACAATTGAAATAAAACTGTACACTTTTTGTTTTCTTATCATAATTTTGAATTTATTTTCTTCGTAATCTTGGGGAAATGTGTTACTTGGAATATTTTGTGTTTAGGGGTTGAGATACAAGATTTGCTACACGTGAATTTTTTTACAATACAGGGTGAGACTGAGAAAAACTGCAACAAAGTAAAACATCATAATTTTTACATCTTTTATTTAAATGTTTTTGAATGAAAGCAAAAATTGTCGGAAATAGCATCAAATTTTAGAATAAGTTTGGATTTGTCCAAAGTGGTCAACTTTGACACGAATTATGGCCTTTAAACGGTCAATGAAACCGTCATACGCTGCCCGAATGTTGCTCTGCGGTATTTTGGCCCATTCCCGGCGAAACGCTTGCTTGAGGTGATCGACACTTTGGTATTTTTTAGTGCCAACCTTGCTTTCCAAAATATTCCAGACAAAATTGTCCAACGGATTGGTATCCGGAGATTTTGTTGACCATTGAGCGCTGGAAATGAAGCGAGGAACCTCATTTGGTAACCAATCTTGGGTGCTGAATGCAATGCTGCAAGGGCGTTGGAATGTCCAAGGTCTGTGGCCAAAATGTTTGCGAGCCCAAGGATTTAATACACCCTCCCGAATATTTTCGCTGGAAATGAAGCGAGGAACCTCATTTTGCAATTAAGCTTGGGTGGCGCGTGCTGAGTCCAGTTGGAATGCTCAAGGTCTGCGGCCAAAATGTTTGCATGCCCAAGGCTTTAATACACCCTTCGCTATAATATTTGGCATTTATTCTGATGCCATGGTCGATTGATACGAGCGGAGAGCGATCATCGGCAGTTATGGCGGCCTACACAATCACCATGGCCGGCGTCGCTTGAGTTCTGGTGACCAACCGAAGGTGCACATTTTCAGCTGACCTCTTTGGCAAGTAAACACGATCATTTTGTTTGTTTACAAACTGCTGGACAACGAATGTTTTCTCATCGGCGAAAGCCAAATTCGGCAGTTCAGCACTTTCGGCCAAGCAAAGCAACTCTAGCTCTATTGAGACTATTTTTTTTCCGTTGCGGTGTAAATTCTTGCACGTTTTTGAATTTCAATGGCTATACCCCGAGCTCATTTTTTAATATTTGCCGAATAGTTCAGCTCACGAGCCATTTTTTGGCCACTGCCACTGCAGGTTTCGATCGAGTTGCTTCTTTATTTTTCGAACCATTTCTGCTGATGTTGATGTTTCTGTTTTCTTTCGTCCACTTCCTTGACGTCTGGCTACGCTACCAGTAGCACGGTAGCGAGCGATGGTACGAGACACAAAAGATTTGTTCACATTTAAATGCTAGAGTTCTCCAACGATAGCCACTGGTGGTTTTCCAACCAAATATAAAGAAGTCAAACTACCACCCTTGAATTCCATCACGAATAGCTTTGTTTCTGGAAAATTCTCACCAAAATGCTTATATATGCTTGTAAACAGTATAATAAGCTGTCACTGGAATAATTTTGACAGCTGTCGGACGAGTGGCTAAGAAATGACATCAGTCTGAAATTGTTTGCAGTTTTTCTTAATCTCACCCTATATAATAACATGCTTGCCTACAAAATCTCCAGCCAGGTTAACCCTGACATTTGACCAATTTCAAGAAGTTTATTGTATGACTGCCGTACAACGCAGGCCATTCAGCGTTTGTGTCACACGTCGAACATAAGAAATATTCTTTATATTTTCACATGACTTTTTTTGTAAATATGTCTCAAAATAATTATTTGCACAATTCGTAATTTTTAAACGCCCTTAAACTGCTACTATTTTTAGTCAATTTGTCGAATAAGATTAAAGTTCATTATTTTTGCACAACTCAATTAGCGTAGGATTGTTAATTTGAAATGTAGTTATACATACATACCTATTTGCTATTTATGCAATTGCATGAACCAATGGTTCAAGAGCGGAAATGCAGAATTGCTGTGAAAGGTTATTTACAATTGAAAGAATTTACAAAAAAGAAAAATATATAAAACTGTTTTATTTTCCTCAACTTGGTCTAATTGGAGAGATTTGCTACGTCGTCTGAATAGACTTATGAATATAAAGACAATGGAATATTGGTTATGTCTTTTTTAATCCAGATAGCTCTCAGCATGCTATTGCATAAAGTTTGTCTGGTTACTTTTCTAGCAGGAATTGTCCAGCAACTTCTTTCTGAGAGAGTAAGGTAGTTTTATTCTCTTTTGCAAGGAAAACTGTGAAAAGTAAACAGACGGTATTCCTGCAGAAGCTTGTCCCACATTAAAAGAATTAAAAGAAAGCAAGCACCGCCAATTTTACAAGTTTTATAACTAAATAGGAAATTTGCAATAAAATAAAAATATGAGCACTAATAGAAAGATAGATTTGATGTGTTCCCCAAATCCTTTAAACGTGTTGCTAATGTTGCTTCTCTAAAAAAGATTGAAATAGCCCTTTATTTTCTTATTACATAATAATAACGTTTTTCACATTTTGTAAAGTTGTTCTCCAAAAACAATTAGTCCAAAAAAAAAAAAAATCAAATTGAAAGCACAAAAAATATACAATAGAAAATATATAGAAAATATATAATAAATAAACATACAATAGAAAATATATGATTGAATGTCGATGAATGAGAAGAAGAAGAGTTGCAAGTGATTGCAAGAAGAAATTTGTCCAGCAAGAATTTGCAAACTCTCACTGAAAGAACTGTCAAAATTTCTCTCTCCAACCGCTCTCTTTTGTAGAACTTTCGGGTTAACGGACGACTTCCAGTAACAATTTATATTATAAATTATAAATTTTATAAGAATTGTTACAAATTTTAGGGTAACCAGACACACCTATAGACTACGAAAACGCAATTCATCGTTTTTTTTAAGAATTGTACTGTAATAATGGCTTAATAGTGAACATATATATAGTGAACACCTACATTTTATTACGGAATAGTTTTTAACTGACAAATATTCTGCAGTTCATAATATTTTTAGCATTTTAAGTTTGAGTGACTTCAATATTTTTACTCATATCCCTGCAACGACATAGACAGCATCTGCTGATTCTATATATTCATTAGTCTATTCTGCATGTTAGAATGTATCATAACTCTCAAAAACAGAGAAAGTAACAAAATTTTTTTACGTTTATTAACCCATTGTCTACTTCATGTTCAAAGGTCCAATCATGTCCTATCTATTAGGTTATTCAAAAATTCCACATAATTTCATACATATTGTCAAAATGCATGTAAATGTAAACGTAAGAAAGGTAAGCAAAAATGTTGACAGTACTATGGTTTTTATACCCTCCACCATATTAAGTTTGTCATTCCGTTTGTAACACCTCGAAATAAACATTTTAGACCCAACAAATTATATATATATATATATATATATATATATATATATATATATATATATATATATATATATATATATATATATATATATATATATGTTTAAGTCGGCGTCTTCGTATAGCCCCCATATGACGGTACCTCCCGTTTTTCGCTATTTTAACGATTTTATATATATATATATATATATATATATATATATATATATATATATATATATATATATATATATATATATATATATATATATATATATATATATATACTAGCTGAACCCGGTGCGCTTCGCTACCCCTTTTGATTTTATATGCATTCAAAATTTTATTTACGAATATATGTTGGTTAAAAAAAAAACAAATTTAAAAATTTAAAAAAAAAACTATTGCACTACTTTAATGCGTAAATAACCAAAACCATTAGAAAAGCAGTAACATGACATACATACACGAAGTGTTTGTTCTTCGGATTTATTTATTTCATAGCAAATACCAAGCGTGCAGTAAACTGCAATTTTTTCAAGTTGAGTGGCATTTCTATTGCAATTAGTGAATTCGGGATAGTAACATACTTCGCCGTAATAAGCGTATTTCAAATAAGTTGTTGTGTTGTCTTTCAGTGTTAGCCTAAGGCGTTGTGGGTCAATGGTTCTTATTAAAATCATATCCCAATCTGATCCCATTTAAATATAATTTAAAAAAAATTACTTTTACACCAAACTCCGCTACACCTTTCATATTTCATTGAAATTGGTGCGTCAAATATGTGAAATCGGCCGAGAATATATATATGGGAGCCAAATTTAAATCTTAACTAATTTCCAATTAATTTATCACATTTATTATTATAACCAAATTCCGCAACACATTCTGAATTTCATTGGAATCGGTCATATATAGTGTTTGGTGCATAATATGTATGAAATCGGCCGAAATATATATGTTAGCTATATCCAAACCTCAACTGATTTCAATATAATTTGGCAATTTTTGCTGGTGCCAGATTTTGTCTCTCTCTCTGGGTGCATCAAATATTTGAAATCGGCTAAGTATATATATGGGAGCTATAATCAAATCTGAGCGTATTTGAATATAATTTGTCAAATTTATTTTTATACCAAATTTAGCCACTCATGCCGAATTTCGTTGGAATCAAAAATACGTATCGTGTTTTGTGCATCAAATATGTGAAATCGGCGGAAAATATATATGGGAGCTATATCGAAATCTGAACCGATTTTAATATAATTTGACTAATTTATTTTCTAATCAAAATCCCGTTACATATTCCAAATTTCTTTGGAATCGAACATACATATCGTGTATGGTGCATAAAATACATGAAATCGGTCGAAAATATATATGAGACCTATATTCAAATCTGAACCGATTTTAATATAATTTGACGAATGAATATTTGTTTTAATTTCCGCTACACATTCCAAATTTCATTGAAAATAGAGATACATAGCGTGTTTGGTGCATCAAATACATGAAATCGGTCGAAAATATATATGGGAGCTATATCCAAATCTGAACCGATTTCAATTTAATTTGACAAATTCATTTTGGCTCCCAATTCCGTTACTTATTTTAAATTTCATTACAATTGGAAATACATATCGTGTTTGGTCCACCAAATACATGAAATCGGCCGAAAATGTATATGGGAGCTATATCCAAATCTGAACCGATTTCAATATAATTTGGGAAAT